AGCACTGCTCAGCTTGGTGTCATCTGCAAACTTGCTGAGGGGTGCGTTCAGTCCCACTATGTTGTTGGTGAAGATACTAAACAGTACTGGTCCCAGTACAGACCCATGAGGGACACCACTTGTCACTGATGTCTGCCTGGACATTCAGCTGTTGACGACTGTTCTCTGGATGTGACCATCCAACCAATTCCTTATCCACCAAATATACATGCCAAAGCTCATGTAAGATAAAATCAAAAAACAATGACAAAACAGGTGTTACCCACCTTCATATTCACTGAATAGCGCAGCTCTGCAGGAGCAACCTTAATGCCACATAAGAGGGATAGCTTTCATGCATGAAGACTTAGCTTTACTACAGACTGGGTTTTGGCTAAGAGTGTGAATATGGGTAAGTCATATAAAGAACTCCCTCACTTTTCTGGCTGAACAATAGAACTGTGTGTTGTCAGCACTGATCTTTAATATGCTGATGTCCCTAAGATACTCTGAGGCCCTTTGGAAAAAAGACTTTATTTCAGTGTAGTGACTTAGAACTATATATAAAGCCAGCAGCTGCAGAAGAAATAGTATTCCTCTCTTAGAAAATGATACATACTTGTTTCTGTTTCAAGAGTAGGACTGTTAGCTTTTGCCAGATTCTAGCTGAGTAGTTTTCTCCTCTTTTTACACTTGAAACGGCAGGGAAAAATTAATTTGTTTACTTAATTTCTTTAGTAAAATGTCAGATAGTGCTATTTGCATATTTTCAAGCAGCTGTGAGCTTTCTGAATGCAACCACCTCTGTGGTGGACTATGAAAGTTGCTTATTAGAATGGAATTCAATTTGCTGTTTTTTAAGACTGCCAATTTCCTTAATCGGTCCGTTTTACATATAAAAACATAATGAATGATGCAGCGTTTGTTTTTAGCTATCTTGACAAATGTGATGTTTGAGTAACTGGCATTTGAGCTGAATAAAATTTACTCAGGTAAAATGGTGAGATTTTAACCTTTCTTTTGTGCATAGGCACAATGCAGAAGCAATGGCACATAGTAGTCACCCTAGATAAAAAGTTGAGATACGCTTTTTTTAGCACAAAACTGGAATGCGCACAAATTGTGTAAGAAAGCAGGTGGACTTTATTGGATTTGTAATTACATATTAAGAAGTAAGCTTCTTTCACCTTTTATGTGGTGTTTCCTTGTTTGATTCCAGGTAACCTTCAGGAAATCTACAATATATTCTAAGACAGGAAGCTTATTACTTGGCTTACTGACTAAACCTGATGACAAAAAAAATTTTGCATTAATCTCAGGAAATACCAGTGTGATACTTGATACCTTGATTAATTTGCTTTCACTTTCTTGGCTCATTAGTGGAGATAATGAGTTAAAATATTGTTTATACATGACAGAAAAACAAGTTCTGTGTTACGTATTGAATATTTATTTTGAAAACCTGAATGTTAACCGGAAAGTAAATTGACACCCTGAAAAAATTATTCATAACTGTTAACATAAAATATCAGTATTATTTTCTGTTTCATTTTCTGATAATGTTTATCACCTCTATTGCAAGCTTGAAAAAATGAGTTTCTGCTCTCTTCTAGAAGATTTATTAGTAGCGCGTTATTAGAAGGTATTTTTTAAGCTGTGAACAATAATTTCATTCTGATATGGTTTCCCATGTTGTCTTTTATCTGTATTGTATTCCTGCCTCCAGCCCTCAAATCAAAGTAGGCAGCTAGGGAATATAGTACTGGAAATTTCCCTGCTAAGTAAGAGGTAATTTGAAAAAGTATCTTCTGATTTAACACAAAAAATGAAAACACTTTTCAGTATGTAAATATACTGTTTGCCCTTTCATTTTGTTTTTTCTTGAAGAAGGGGGGAGATTTCTTTTTTTTTTTTTTTTTTTAAATCCAGTTGAGTTGTAAGCCACTGAACCAAAGATGAAGTTATATCTTAGTTTCAAACACTTAAGCTTACGAGTAGTAAAATAATAGCTGATTGGCCATGATCCACTTCAAATGGACTGTAACATTTGAATTCACATCAAGATCTCTGTTCTAAGGAGCTTCGGGTGAATTGATAACGGGTTGGGGGGGGGGGGGAGACAAGGAAACAAAGGGGAATGCGACTTGGGCCAGCTCATGAGACAGCAGCCCAAGGCACTCCCAGCGGTTCCTCCCTGTCCTGTGGTAACAGCTTGTTCCCTTCAGTCTGGGCTCATGACCAGTTCTCCTGGGTGGAGGGGCAGGAACTCCTTAAGAGTAACTCCGCTGCCATATGAGTACACTTTGATTTAAAAAAAAAAAAAAAAAAAAATTATATGCATCAGGAAGGCAAAGACAAGACAAAAACTGGGACACTTAAGAGTGTTGGGGAAGGAACTGCCATCATTTGTAGATTGAGTTGTCTCCCTGAAGGAGAGTATAGTTGTGAAGTACCTGAAAATTCCTGTAGTAAGCAAGATTCCTTTAGCAGAGTGCACCAGTTGAGTTCAGAGTTTGTCATATGTACTATCTCTGAAAGACAAAAAGGAGATGATGATTGTGGAAAAATTAAATTCCTGCTCTGTGTGAAAGGCTTAAAAATAAATTGTCCCCTAGGAGTTCAGAATACATTTACACCAGACATTTGAGAATTTAATGGACTTTTATTTCAACAGAGAATTCTCATTTGAGAAAGGTGATGCTGGCATCTAAGGTAGAAAAATTTGTGCAGCTGAAAGTATTAGTCTCTGTAAAGGTTAAAGGACTTTGTTTTAGCTAGTGAGAAGTCTTTGGTATGCTGACAGATCTTTACAAAATTTCTATTTTAGTATCTTCACCAACAATTTGGGATCTGGAATTTGCGAAGGAGATTGCAGCAGTAACTGCACAGCCTCCCCGAAATGGTTTTGAGGAGATGATCCAGTGGACAAAAGAAGGAATACTGTGGGAGTTCCCAATTGACAATGAAGCTGGTAAGTGCACTGTTAACTTTTATTTTCTGTCTGCATTTATCTTTTTTGAGAATTAGAGCGTGTTACGACTTTTGACTGTTTTAACATAGTGTTTCAGCTACAAGTCATGCATTTGATAGTAAACAAATACAACTTTCCAACTGTCCCAAATCAGCGATGCTTCAGATGAACTCATTCTGGCACTCTTCAGGTGAAGTTCTGCAGGTGGTTTGGCTGATCTGAGGACTGGCTACTGCCAAAAAGCAGAGAACTCCCTCCCTCCTTCCCTCCCTCCCTCCCTCAGCCCTGATGCTTTCAACACCAAAAGGCCATTCAAGTCTATTACATAATACCTTTTACTATGCAACTTCTTTAAAGAAGCTTCTAGCAGAGGATGGGGAATCTTAAAACTGCTGTGTGTGTTTTATAATGACGATTCTGTTCTTCGGTGTGGCTCTCAGACCAAGGATCCTAATCAGCTATCTGCCAGTTCCATATCTGCGCCGGCTGAGTGTTAAACAGTTGTTTGCTCCCTTTGTGCTATCTGTTTCATAAGAATAAACAGTCCCAATATTCACTCACTCTGGGCATCTGTCTTTAACTACACATCTTTGTGCATGGTATTTACTTTTATTACCATTTAAAAAAAAAAAAAAACCAACCCCCAAAAAAACTCTGAAGTTAAGCCAGCAGAGAGAGAGCGAATGTTAAGGAAGGGAAGAACAATTACACAAAGCAAGTGTACACTTTAGGAAAGGGGACTTCATAACATCAGGGGGAGCTTGGCTGTGGGTTGTTTTTTTGTTTTTTTTTTTAAAAAAAATACTTTAAAGACATCAAACAGAACTACTTTAGAATGATTCAGTCACTGAAAGCAAAACAGGTTAGTATCTGAAGCTGGGAGTCTTTGAAAATCTGTCCTATACTGAGTTGCAAATTGCATAATGTGGTTCATTGTTTCTTAATGTTTATTCTCATCCTGTTTTGGCAGTTTCTTCACAGAATTTAATCACTGCTCCCAGAATTGATCTGTTCCATCATGTAGAAATCCGAGTATGCTCTAGTCATGTTTTTGCAAGCTTAAAACCACTGCGGCCAATGGTTTTTCTGTTGTTGTAATGTGGCTGGAACCCTGCTGTCTGGGACCGTAAGTGGACCAGGCGTCTTTGGCGGCCAATGGTTTTTCTGTTGCAGCAATGTGGCCGGAACCGTGCTGTCTGGGATGGGGTGGCAAGTGGACAAAGAGTCTTTACATGTACTTAAACAAGAATCTTTATTGATTTGTCCACAAAGACTAGTCATGTGGAAAATTCCAGTGGAGCGTTCCAAAATCTATCACCTTTCAGGTTGAAATATCAAGTCAGTAAATTCCATCCTATCAAACTGCCAGCCACAGGCTGTTAATCAGATCATGTATGTCAAAGCACAGTTAAAAGCTTGAGAAACTTGCTCCAATTATATCAACATACTGTAGTTTTAGTGGCTCTGCAACAGAAAGATGCCCCTTCCTACTCTTAATTTTGTAACAGTCATCTCCCTCAATAGGAGGACATTACCTCGGCTTGTTCTATATCAAGAAATGTGTCATTTTTCTTTATGCCACAAGCATGTGGCTTTAAAAACATAAGTGTAATTAAATTTTCCATTGAGGACGCGCATATACTCAACTTTTAGCATTATGAAAGCCTTTAAAGTTTTAAATGAAATATAAAAAAGAAAGAAGACCGCTTATAACTGTTTTTCTTAGCTCCAGAGCATCTCCAGTGTTCTCATTAGAGTGCTTTACCAAGGCACTGTGCTGTGCTTTGAGGCATCAGGGCAAGGTCATGGTTTTTAACACTTCTCTGGCCTTGATGCAAATGTACTGGCTTGCTGCAGTGGCCAGTAGCCGTCTCCCACCCCCTACCCCACTGCCCTGTCATCTGCTCCTGCTTGCATGTCCTTTCCCTTGTCTGATGCAGTTGAAGTCACTGTTAGGCAGAAAACTACGGGTTTTTTTTCTTTTCCCTCCATCTCTCTGACTTCTGATTAATTTTTACCAGGTTAGCAAACTGTTAATTAGTATAGCTTGCACAATATTGCTCACTCCTCCTCCTTGCCCGCTTGCTTCTAGTAGCTCTAGTTCTGCTCCATGACTTGTCATGGCAAAAAGTTGGGAAAAACATCAATTTCTGCCCCTTTTCTTAAAATTATTTTTGTGCATTTATGCCTTGATGACTCAAATCCTGAGGATTGCAGTCGTTAAAAAGGGCAGAGAAGATTATCGGTGCTACTGTGCTTTAGCACCTCGTTCTGAGGAGCAAATGCTTCTGGTGGAAGCACCAGAGATTGTTACAGCAGAAGTGGTAGGCTTAATGGAGGTCTCGGAAAATTAATGCCTTAATTGCCCCTTATGGCTTCTGTAGGCAAAAGTTCACCAAGTCCTGTTCTGGCTGTTTTGCTGAGATGCAGAGAAGTATTGGATTAGTTTGCTAAGAGAAGTGGCAAACGGTACACAACCATTTTAGGGGGGCTTTGCTTTACTAATTCTGGGTCTATTTTAGGGACCTACTGTAAGAGCATGATTTATTTCCTTCTGAAAATTCTAGAATCATAGAATGGTTTGTATTGGAAGGGACCTTTAAAGATCATTTAGTCCAAACCCCCTGCCATGGGCAGGGACACCTTTCACTAGATCAGAATACTCGGTGATCTTTATAGCATGTCAGCAACACTCCCTATAAGGATGGACACCTGCATTTGAGATGTCATCTTTAAGGCAAGGTTGGTCTTGTCTTGGAAAGGTTAGTGTTTTAGCTAGAGAAATTCTCCAGACTTTCTGTTTTGTAGTACGAAGGGGATTAGAAATAGAGTATTGAGAGTGGGTGACTTCTTGCTTTGAAGTTGATAAAGAAAATCCTCTACTTTAGATTCCCACCATGCATGTTCTTTCAAATTAGGCTTCTAGGACAGTGCAAGAGAGGCTGAGGGACAGGCTTGTCCCATGCAGCTGGAGTTATGACTTGCTGGGGGTGGGGGGAGTCATGCGAGCATCTCTCATCTAATCAGTACCCACCAGAGGTCACAGCCTCTGCTGCTTTGGGCAATTGTGGTCTCTTTTTGTGATGTACACTTTAATTTTCTGAGGACTGAATTATGTGGTCTAACTGAAATGTTTGGACTTAACACTTCATCCCCAAACCATATATACCACGTCTTTGACAAATGGGAGATGAAAATACATGATGTGATATTTCCTTCTGACCTGCATTTTTGTGAAACTATAAATGGTTTAATTTCTTTTGGGTTAGAGGTGAAAATTGGTGAAATTATTAATTAGACATAACCTCTCTGGATACCTTGTATCTAGCTGCAAAAGAAGAGCATCCAGAAGGCCAAATTTTACTGTCAGCATTATTCAGGTTCTTACAGTAGTGGTTTCGTTGGTTTAGTTCTCTTGGATTTTTGTGACCAGCAAAAGTATGGAAATCTGGAAAGGATGTTAGCCTGTGAAAGCAACCAGAAGCATCCAGGTACAGTGAGGTTCCACCTTCCCTTGGTGGGGGAAAGTCAGTGTGGGTGGCATGGTAAAAGGATCATATCTGTGCTTCTGTAAGTGGACACAGGTTTCCAAACACAGCAGAAATATACCTCCTGAAGCTGGCATGACCTGTTTTTTTTCCTTTTAACATAAAGGAAAAAGAAGAGATCTTCTGAAGAAGGAAATGTGCTTTCTTTTTCAAGGACAAGGGAGATCAATGTGGCATGTAGCTGGTATTGATATACTCACGTATTTCTGGGAAAAATCTGTGGGGAAAAATAGAGGTATTTCCCAGCTCCTTCAGATACTGCAGTACCTAAAGTTTAAAACAGGAAAGAAATAATGCAAACTTAATGAATACAAGCTGAGAGACTTCTCCATCCCAGAGATGTGCATCATTTCTTCTGAAACTGTAGAAGCTCTAACACAAGAGGAAGTCTAGGACTGATGTGGCTTAATTACCTCAATTTCAGTGCTCTTGGTTTAATGATGTCAAATAATACACCATATCCTAGCTAGTACAGAAAAACAAATACACTTATGTCTGTGGTGAAGACTTCCCATTTTTGTCGTCTGGAAATGTTTATATGCAATATTTTTCTCTAATAACAGATTTTTACTTAAAGGTGCAAATGTAATTTACAAATCTATAGCAAACTGGGATCAAATAAAAATTTTCAAGTATCCCTACTGAACAAAAATCTTTCAGTTGCAAGTCCCAGTTTGGCTTGGGTTTTTGTCTCAGAATTGGGAATTGCAAAAGCAGCCTTTTTTCTGTATGTAAGAATTTGTGTTCTGAGTCTTTTGTGTACTCTAGCATCCTAGTATGAGCAACAGCAAAGGAAATCCACAGGACAGAGAAAAAAAATTTACCGTAGGATCTGAGCTGTGCTTGATTAGAGACAATAATCCCTTGTCCCGTGTTCCTGTGAATACTTTAGAATGCATCATCTTTTGCGCTGGTTATGACTTAAAAATAGCAGCTGGTGAGATGCACCACATTTTTACATCAGCATACACTCAAAGATTCAGAAAGTGTTAGAAGAACAATTTTTTGTGCCTGTGTGATAGCAATAAGATGTTAAGACCATGACTTGCAATGAACATGCAAGTGTGTATTAGCTGTTCAGTATTAGGTACTTCATGAGGTTGCCTCATTTGTTCAAGACTAGCTTGTATTCTTTAATCCTCTGCAGAATTTAGGCAATCAGTGTTTTCTTAAAGAATTTATTAAGAAAGTGTCCCCAATCTAAAAGGTGGTACCCATGATGAATCACAATTTTCACGTATTGAACAAAGAGGTTTTTAGCAAGAAGACTGATTTTTTTTTTTTTTTTTTTTAATTATTTCCCCTGCTCTGGCCCTGGCATCAGCTTTCAGTGAGATTACCAGTCAGAAAGTTGACTTAAATATTAGATATTTGTATTAATGAGAGCACAAAATTGAAGTAATATGGTAGACAGGAGTATGATATATGCTGACAGTTTTTGTGTGGAGAGAGAAATTAATATCTTAAAATTCTGCAGTTTCTTCCACTTCTGTGTGGTTGGCTCAACTGTGCAAAAGAATTAAAAGGCTCAGAACCATTAATTTTATTAATTTAAGATTATTTGCAAAGTATATTCTTTTTTACTTGTTAACTTTGCTGTTATATTATGATAATAACTGTCATTTTTTTTGTCCATTCTGTTAGGGATGGAGGATGATGCTGAATTTCATGAACATATCTTTCTGGAGAAACACCTTGAAGACTTTCCCAAGCAAGGACCTATTCGCCACTTCATGGAACTAGTCATCTGTGGGCTTTCGAAAAACCCATACCTCAGTGTTAAACAGAAGATTGAACATATTGAGTGGTTTCAAAAGTATTTTGAGGAAAAGAAGGAATTTCTTCAAGAGATTTGAGACTTGGGAAAGTGCTTAACCTTGAAATGAAGAATCATTATGTCCAAATTGATGATTTCTTCTAATGGAAATACTGTCAGAACATAGTAATCATGTGACCTGAGAGTTATATTTTAAATAATAAATTTAAAGGTCCTACTTTTATGTGTGTATGTCCATGTATATGTAGATATTCTTTGACAACAGAAGAAGGAACTGAAAAGTACAGCTTTTGTAGAATGTGCACTTAAAATTTAGTTTATCAAAATTGTGGTCTTTTAAATTTGAAACTAATCTTCTGACCATACAAAATATTAGGTCTAATTCCACTTCTACACCTTTCACACTTGGTGTGTATCTTGACAGCTTTGATCATCATTCCCATTCTGGAAACCTTGCAATGCTTTCATTTTTAAAAACTCCTGATACAGCTCTAATTTTGAAAAGCTGTTACTGAGATAGTAACAGTTAATTTTGCTAATTCATTAAATACACTGGTATTTGGATGGTATTAATCCTTCCTATCCTCCTTTCACTAATTATCTTTATTGGTTCATTTTAAAATTTTCGGTAACGACTAAGTCATTTGAATTGAATGCTTGTTAGTCATCTGCTCAATGAAAGGCTATTGTATTCCTGAGATGTGTGCACAGCGTAATACTAGTGAGTTATACAAAATAATGCAAGAAGTCTCTTCTAGCATCCATACATCCATTCTGAAGCTTTTGACCAACTTCCCGTCAGTATTTGTTGTTTAAAAATGGCTCTGGTTGTCAAGTAATCCATAAAGTTCTATTTCATTAGAGCAAGCAGTTTTATGATTACTACAATGTTTGGAGCTGAGGCCTTATCTGCTGCATCTGCAGGGCTAGAAAGAGGAGTTGGCACTGCTGGCAAGGAGAGTTGTTAACTACAGATTGCTGTCGCATGAGCCACTGCTGTTTTCTGTCTAGTCCTCTGATGCTGGTGAAGTAACTTCGTATTTCCTAGATGAACCTTTATTCTAATTAAATATGTATGGTCCTTCGTATCTATTAAGCAATTGCAATATATTTTACTTCAGTTATCTTTTGTTAAATTTTTATCTGGGATTACTCACTCGGTCATTCAGAATCCTGGATTACATCTCACTGCTTAACTTTCCATAGCATTTCCAGCCTCACATATTGTGTTCTTCCTTGTTCTCTTGCATTCACTCCAACCACGTTAGCAGCTATTGGCCCTATAAATATGCTCCTTCTTCTCGCATTTCGTCGTAACTCAGGCAGGAAGGAGGAGGTTATGGAATGAAGGTTAAAACACTGGCTTCGTATGCAGACTGATTTTTAAATCAGAATTACAAGACAGCAAATGAAAAATTAAAGAGTTGGCCTTTTTCTATGAGTTGGAATATTGTTGCTGTGTTCTGCTTGTCTGCAGGAAGTGAGTTTGCCTGTCTGGCGAAGGACAAGACGGGCTGTGGGAGGGAAAAGCAGCTTTTTGACTTTCTAAGCTGTAAGAACAGCAAGGTTCAAATTCTGCAGAAGTTTTCAGAGACTTCCTGGCTTTGGAATGGAGAGAATGACAATTACATCAAAGTATCTCCATTCAGTACGAGGATAGGTTTAATTTTTGGTTCAGTACCGAATTTTTTCCCGAATTTCTACCAAACTATGATGCACAGCCTGCGTTCTGCTATATTTCAAGTGTTTTCTCAAACAAGGTACAGTGACTTTGAATTCAGTGTGGGCTTTTAGAAATAGCTCCTCTGTGTATTTGTATCTAAGCTGTTTTGATATGAAAGACAGGACACTTACAAGCTCAGCTTTTACTAGAAGAGGTTCGGGAGCATTAGCTGTGTATGAAAGTACTGAGTTTCGCAGCACTGGGAGCGAGGTGAGTGTTACCATTTTTAAAAAGATTCATTAGGAGGTCAGTACTTGGACAAGCTCTTAACAAGAGCTCTTGGTGCTTAGGATCTTTGGAAAGCTGTAGTAATTCCTACTTAAGTGCTTAAATATAGATTTGAGAGTTAATACTAGGCAACAGGATTTGAATAATCAGACGTAGCTGCACATACGTACGGATGCTTGCTGGGACTGCCAAGCATGTTAAGAGACCCCAAGTGGCAGGGCTTTTATGTGTGGGGGTTTTTTGGGGTGTATGCTTCCTGGTAGTCTCAAAGGAGTAGGCTTGTAGGAATTTAAAGCATTGCTTACAGATTAGTCACTTAGAAGCATAAAAATCACGCCTTTTCTTTTGCGGCCCTAAGGATAAAAGCTGTCCGCCGTTGTTCAGAGCAGAGCCAGTGCTGCAGCTAGTGATTCCCTTGCTGGAGTCATTCAGGCTTTTCTTATGATGATTGGTTTTCTCCTTCTCGTAACTGGTTAGGGGGTATTACGTGTAACTTAGTGGACTCAGCATTAGGATCTGTCCAAGGCAAAATAGCGTTTGTCATGTTCTGCGGTCTTACATTTCCTTCTTTATGCATGAAGCTGAGGTGGTGTTAATGTGCTGCTAATGCTATGCCTCCATGACATCTGCATTGGAAAGTTGTCTGGCTTCGGCGGGGCTGGAGCAGTTGATGCTGCCCTGAGGAGAGCGAGAAGATGGAGCAGACTGACCCAGAGCCATAATTGCGGGCAGCGTTGTCGGTGTGCGATTTTTAGGTGACAGTTTTTCCTCAGGGGTGGCTACAACGGGAACGTAGCAGAAGGAGAACGTCTTGTTGAGCGGAGATGGCTGAGCTACTGCAAAGTTGCAGGCAAAGGTGCAGAGACTCGCTGTTGGCAACCGTGGCAGCTGTTGATAGCGCTGGAAATCATGGTCCTGGCTTCCCCAGGCTGGCTGCTGTGCTGTGAAGAAGTCCAAGCTCCTTTTCCCCCCTTTCCATCACACCCAGGTAGTCTCCATTTTCCACCTGTCTGGTGCTACCGCAGCGGTTCCAGAGGGTCTCTGGCCATTTCGGAGGAGACGGAGGCACTGGCGCAGGTAGAAGACCTGGCAAAGGCCCGCGTGTTGGCAGAGCTTGGGAAGAAAGGGGGGAATGAAAGGGGCCCATATGGTTTGTAAAGGTGTAATGGAGAAGTTCAAGGCATGTAATTTATTACCTGCCTATCTCTGTCCCAACTTCTTTATTTCTGCTTCCCAAGGGCAGATCTTGCCCTGCCCTGCCAATGGTTGAACTGATTATCAAAGTTAAGTTAAATCCAAAGCACTTGCTCACAACCCAGTTTGAACCCAGCTCTGTGTCTCTCCATGCCCCCCCAGCTGGACAGGTCAGAAATTGGCCTGGAAAAAATTAAACTTCTTGGGGATGGTCCCTTGCCCAAAGGGAAGGATAGGAGTGAGTAGGGTGAAAACCCCACGAAAGGCTAAATAATTTATTGTCTTAACCCAGGGGGTCTCAGTGAGGTGTAAATGCCAGCCCCTTGGGTCATATGCCAGCCCAGACCTTGTCTCTGACACCTGATGGCACCCTTGGTCTTCTCGAACCTATTCGATACGAATGGTTTGCTGGAGATCAGACCTGATAAGAACTTTTTCCCCTGCTATGGAGCAAGCATGCACGTTTGCTCCCCGCGTGGTATTAGGAAGAAGCTGGAGGAATGATTGTATGGTTTGGTTGCAAGATTATCTGTGCTGGGATTTCAGCTCTTGGTGTTAACCCCTACCAAGCAATTACGCCACGGCATTGATGCGGCCTGTGCCTAACAGGGGGGTTGTACTCCTTGAACACTTACCCGAGCACTGGAAGAAAGATGGCAGTGGCTTAATTTAACCCTTCTGACCTGGCAGAGGAGCTAAAACGAATGGGATGAATAGGGAGGAAACTCTTGTGATGTTCCCAAACTGCAGGCAGTTTTTGCTTAAACCACTCATTTTTAGATGAAGAGGATCATTAAAGGAGTCCTGGAGTGCTACTCAGGTCCATTTTCTTCCAGCACTTAACAGAGATAATAAAATTCCAGCATGAAAATAGCTCCTCGTCAGAAGCTCATGCTTTGATGAGAAGCCTGAAGCATCATGACATTTATGCAAGAGGGGCCATGGTGTTGCTTGCAGTGAGGATTTAAAAGTAAATAGTCTGATTTTAGTTGGGTTTGTGAGGATCGCTTAGCAAGACGGTGGTCGTGGACAGAGAACGACAACTTCGGAGATTGCAGGACCTGGTTTTCACCGCGGACACACCTGTGGGTACTTTGGGAAGTCCAGCT